GTGCGGCGTGACAGGTCATGTACTTGTCCAAAGTTAATTTAATAAACTGCTTGAAAAAGTTGAAGAAAACATGCTTTTTTCTGTATCACGGTAATAAACGATGATATTAGTAGATTCTAATTTTACATTTTGTTCAGTGTGACATATGCATATGATCCAGAGTCCAAATTTTTAGGTTGGTGATTCAGAACTGCAGAATTTTTAAGCACTCAAGCCTCAAAGCCATCAGGATAATACTGGTGGATTACTCAAACATGCATGACTCAATACAACTATAATAAGTTGTATTGAACAGAGTAAAAATGAACAGAGTAAAATCTTAAGACCATTAATTATAACATGATTCAAAGTTGATTTTACATAATTTCTTTCCTTTAAAGGCACTTTATACTCTCTTAAAATGGCGAAATACACGTTCATTTTAAATGGTCTGCAATGATCCAAACTTATTCCTCACTTATCCAAGCATCCTAATAATCGCAATGAATTTATAAGAGCTCTCAGAGACCAGTCTATCTACAGTTCAACTACTTTTGTAAGACATAATTTTGTACAAACAGCAGTGTTCCTTACCTTAAAGATCTATGTGTATATGTTCCACTTGCTTGTCTCCCTTTGGAAAATAAAAAAACAAAACAAAAAAACACGTGAATGAAAAGTTAAATCACATATTAACATAATGAGATAGACTAGTAGTCAGTATTCTATGGTAGGATTAGATTTTTTATATTTTTTGCCATCGTTTACAATTAGTATCAGTGTAAAACCTTTCAAATAGTTAAAATGTTCACCTAAACACAACACAATAATTCTTGTGAGTTGAGACTAAGCCACTTTTAGCCAAAATACATTTGTGCACCATATCCCTAATAATCCGGATCAACATCTGTGGATTGTTTCCAGTTTCTATTTCTTTCAAAACCCATAGAGTTGCCCTCTATCTGAAAATATGAGATAAATTTCGTGAACGTGCTTTTAGGTCGTAGACACATTTATAATTTCTAATCGATAAATACTGCACACTTCACGTAGCTACATTTAGCACTGCCGTCACTCTTAGCTTATTTATTCATTTGTGTGCTCGTAATTTCTTTACTTTACAATCTGTTTATTGCATTTTAACGTGTCTGTTCTTTTAAATGTTAAATTTATTCCACATACATTTAATCTATCTAATGTAATGGAAATTTACCGCTGCGTGTCCTAATCCCAAGGCCGAGCAACCCCGGGCGGGAAAACTCCCGGGAAAACCGCAGATCTGGCAACCCTGGATTCATCACGAACCAAAATCACGTAAAACAGTCGCTGAAAATTATCTATCAAGCTATTTATTTTGATAGGCGTAAGTTTGAGAGTTTTGGTGAGCTATTTGGCTACTTTTGGTGTCATGTAGGGAATTCTGTAGGCTGTGGTAAAATTGCTTTGAGTGTATTTCATTTCAAACATTTCTTAAAATATTACGCTATGCTATGTTTTAGTAATCCTTCGCGTCCAGGTCATGTCCATGGCTAAAAATTAAGAAAGTTAAATTGCTGGACGAGTTTATGTCACTTATCCTCCAAGTAGCATCTTCAGTTCTGATCATAGCTGCCAAACAAACATGAAAAAATGAATTACTAGTACATAAGATTTGTTTGTTAGATAAAGATTCACATTCAAGATTTGATTGTCATTGTCATAGAAAAACAACTACACTATGATTAGAGCATCAAACTTTGCATAGGTTTGATGTAAAGTGCAAGTTTTTGTTTTGTTTTGTTTTTTATTGCAGGCTATAACCTGAAACCTTTTGCATGTTACAGTGTCAGAGAGGAGGGCTGTCTTCAGAGCCATTACAGATAAGACACCTAACAACAGTAACACCCACACACACAGCAATACATTACAGCATATTTGAACATTTATCCTGCAGATGCAAACATACAGAGGCTAGATACACAAGTGTTCTCCTGATAATCATTTATAGCTTCGTGGCATGGGGCAAAGTGCTGTTATCATCTACTAGCAGCAGCATTTGGCTCTCAAAAACGCTCCACGCCAAGCCGCAAACCCATTAACTTGTACATGCACAAGATACCATGCACTTTCTGTAGCTGTTCCACGTACACCTAGTCTGCCGACATCCTATGGGAGATAACAAGTTTTTCTTTACATGCATCTGTAGTCCAAGGACCATTACACAAAACAACAAAAGGACTTAATCCTCTCCATGTTGTTATGTCTTGAGGGGATTTGAAGAGTTTACAAAAGCTTTAGCATTGTCTCTACAGCAGGTTTGTCTGTGAAAGGAAGACTGGGATGTGTTAGTGTGGTAATCTGTTGTGTTTCTGATTGTGTCCATGCAAAACAGTTTAGGGGCCCATCCATGTAGGCGAATAAGGCCTAAAATACCAAAAGCTTTGTGTGCTGTTCACAATGAAGAGGGCATGTTCGGATTATTCCCCTGTATCCTGCACCTTTCTGTGGGAGATTTATGGAGCCAGAGCATGCAGTAATTCTCTATTGTGAATGCTCAATAATTCATGTTGAGACACTCTGTTAAGCTTATGGTGGGAGACTGGTAATTGTTCTGCTGTACACTTCCACCTTTCCTTTGTATGTATGTGTGTTATTAACTACACATACATCAAGGTGTTTTGTAGATTTATGAGGCTAGAGAATGAATCATCCTCTTAAAGCTCAACCACTGAGGAGTAATAACTGATGGTGATGGTGTTTTTAAAAGACAATGTAGGAGGATGTTATCCTTATAAAACCCTTTCCAGTAGGCATTTGTCATAAATCGAAAAGCTGATTTAAGTCTAGAAAAACATTCTCGTTTCATGGTAAAGGATTTATTCCATGTTTCATGCTCATATATCTTAGTTGTGTGTTAAAAGCAGTAGAATAATTACAACTCAAGCAGCTTAAGCAGAACGAGAAAATGAAATACTGCTCATTTTTACAGGTTGTAACTGTTTTCTAAATTTCACAAGAGACCATTTTTAGCCTGTGCTCTTTTTTATTGGATTTATAAACAGCCTGAATAGCCTTCTTTGATAGAACAAGCACATAAAATAGCTTTAAATGTGTGTATTTAATTACTCCCAATATAAGTAGTAGTAAAATCAAAAAGGGAGATGCTTTTCTGATATGTTTTTGAAAGTAGTTGCATTACTAGACCAAACAAAGAAGATAATATCAGGTCATTTCACATATTCAGTATTAATTTGTGACCCATTTTATGCAAGCATGTGATCATGCGCTGACGTATTAGTTAATAATAGCAAATGATTTCAATTCATCTCAAATAGAAGATGAAAATTCCCATGCCCTTTAACTAGGCTTTCACAAAGAAATGAAAAGTACACAGTCACAGCATGTACACAATGTATATTTACAACTCTATACGGGTCTGCATTAACTAAAGCTGCACTTAAATGTAATAACCATCTGAAATACAAATGCTTAATGCATATACGGGAGTTTTATGAGCGTACAGTAAAGTGCACAGCCTAACTTTGTTCAATGTTTTAAAGCCTCCCTGCTTGTCCTAGGACTTCACTCACCGAAATGCTGTGTTAAATGATGAATGACTCCAGGAACAAGCAACCAGCCAGCTAAGGAGCGAGAAAGTGTACCCTGGCACAGCCCCAACCTCAGCTCAGCGTTTTGCCCTGGTTCTATACCAACTGTAAGCGTGTAAGAAAGAAATGCAATGTAACTTAATTAGGCAAGGTGAGAGGAATTTGTCTGTGTCATGTCTCTGGGGATAACCCGTGTGTGTTGTGTGGTGCAGGTGCGCATGTGTGCAGACCTTTTAGTGTACTTACTAGACAGCTGCTTAGAGAGCCATAAAGAATTTAATAGCCTTTGCAACGAGCGTGGAAGCTACTGTATGACATATGGCTTGCTCCTGATAATACCGCAGAGTGTGCAAAATCAAGATGTTTTCAGATGTAAATTGATTTCTAGTAAGACTCTATCTGGAGTTACATCAATATATAAGCAGGCAGTTCATAAATGCTTAGAATCTATCTGATATACATAGTTTTTGTTGGAGTATTTGTTGTCCTTGGATGACCCCATGTTGTTTTCCGTGTGTTTGGGGTGCACGGGGTATAGTGGCTGAGAGCTGAGCGGTGCCGAGACTAATTTTAGGAGGCTGATGTGTGACAGAGGTGTGATGCTTATCTGAGCTCAGGGGAATTGCACCGCCAGGCTTTTTCAATTGGACAAAGCTATTCAGGCCAGAGGCGTGTTACAGCGGTTAAATAAATCAATGCATTGTTATCATACAAATGGGGTTGTTGATTGGGTTGGGTAAACAAATTATTTTCGTTGATGTCACAGCAATATTTGATTTGAATTGGTGAAACAGTTTGGAATAAGATCAGTTTAAGTGCATATGTTGGTTAATTAATATGATCTGTTGAGGGAAACTCCCATAAAATCGGCAGGGGGCTTATTACTACTACTACAACTCTTGTGTGCACTTAACTAAAGCCGCAACCCACTGTATTGTTGTGTGAGACCTAATCTAATTCTTTCACTTTTCCCACCAGCTAATGGCACAAAAGGAATATAGCTAGCTTGAATATTCACCTTATTAAATATGCATTTTTTCCACTTTCTTATTTAAAACATAATGTCAGTTTGAATGACAAAAAAAAAACATTTCCATCTTCTAATTTTGGCTTATTTCAAGTCAGAAGCTAGAACATTTCCAGCTTCAGTTACTTAATGGTTCAAAGTGTATCTGTCACATATGCCAAGTGGGTCAAGCATACAGCAACCTATTTTTAAAGGTTGCCTTATTTGTCATGAGATTTTATGAGAACAAATAGATGGTTCTATCTTTACACTAGTGACTACAGTTTTGTCATTGACCTGTTTTCTATTCCTATGAAGCAGTTCTGGTTCCATCCATTCATTCCTACACCTCATACTGTTTTTTCTTTCAAAATCAAAGACATGTTGTGCATCTACACTGTACTAAAATTCCATGGGCATCTCCACAGATTGAAGATATTGTCACAAGAATACAAGATGAGAAAGCAGGAGGGGTGTCCATCAGAACTGTCAAAAGTTTCCTCTCAAAGATTCCCAGTGTTGTATCAGGTAAGTACAGTACATTTGCACTGCTGTACACAGAGAGCAAGGGGTGATTCTCCACTGTATTTCCGTGTAATCGTTGCATATGTGTGCTGCCTCTCTGAAAAATAATGCTTGGGGACAACTTGCAGAATCAGTAAAGCAAACATGACCTTTTGGACATATGTAAATTGGTGGCAGTACAGTTACGGGCAGATGATGTCTTTGCCGATAAGATCTGGGCCTGTGAGAAAAGCGCCTGTGGCCTTACACTGCCCCTGTCAGCGGGTAAAGGCTGCTTTTTCCCGCTCTGTTCTGTCTGAGCCTCAGAGTATACACACTGTATTTCTTCATCTGTTTGTGTGTGATATGAGTCAGCGCTGGACTGGGACTGCTCCCTTTCTGCCAGGAGCTCTCTCTGAGTCACTTCTTCACGTGGGTCCCACTGGCCTCAGGGCAACTGCTCTGTGCTGCCAAGCTTAGACACAGGGCCAAAGGTTGTGCTGTCCAGGAGAGAAGGCTGAACACTGTATTATGTGACATATGCAGATAGGAAAGACCTACAGCCTCAGAAAGACTTTTGCATTAGTTAATTACAATGTCGAAACTCATGCATGTATTTATTTGCCCCACAGGGGCGGACATTGTGCAGTGGCTGATGAAAAACTTGAACATTGAAGATCCAGGTATGTATGTTGTATGTTAGGTCAGAAAGTTACACTGACAAAAAAATACATAATGATTTGTTGTTTTGCTTTTTAATGCCCAAAGCTGAAGCCATCCACCTGGGGAGCCTCATTGCTGCACACGGCTACATCTTTCCCATCTCCGACCACGTCCTGACGCTCAAAGATGATGGAACCCTTTACCGTTTTCAGGTGGGAAGTACCACACTCAAAGCTTTCCTGTTTTCTTAAGTGAAATCATGTCTGATGATGGTAGTTTATCAGAGGGAATGTTCATTGCTGGTGCTAATGAACAATCATTACTAAGCCTATTACTCATCCCATCAAGGTCGATAGTGAGTATCCCAGCTGGACGCTGCCATAATCAGAAGGTGGGCTGCAGAACTGGGACTTTGGGCCAGCCAAGCTTTTTGTTAGAGGGGATGTTTTTCTTGCTCTTTCTGATCCAAACTAAACTTTGACAGGTCTGTGTGATAGCTAAGGGCTCCTCCATGACTCATTACTGTGACTGGGCCATTAGCATCTTAATCCAGTCGGCTACAGTCTTCAGCTGTATCTCCCTGGGCAGGCACAGAAGCAGCTGTTTGGTGGCTCTATTTGTTTCACACAGTTAGACTCTTCCCTCTTCTCTGTATCCACCTCTCAATGCTTCAACTTCACCTCCACTGCTCAAGATTAAAAGCCACTATTGTGCAGCTCAAGGAGGCCAGCGTGTCACACTTGCTCATTCAGCACAGGCTAAAAATATTCCCTCTGATGTTGTGGTGACGCAACAGGCCAGCGTCATCAAAACCTCAACTAGAATTTGAAATGGACTGGCCACCATCCACAAGCGTGCTCGCTGTAAGACTCTGACATGGGAACTTTCACTCTGATGTCTAAAAATAGATACTACACTAAACCAAGAAAACACTCAACAGCTGATGCTAGCAAGTGATTTGTGCATGCAGTGCCTGACGTATTAGCCTGAGTGTTGTTACAGTGTTGAACTAGAAAGAGCTGTCTCCTCAAAGTAGTTATTATGGATTTTTAGGCTGATTAACATTTAAATATATAGTAGAGACTAGAGTAGAGACCCAAGTTCTAATTCTGAACCCTATTAAGAATGCATGATAGATGTGAGTGATCCATAATTAATAGACTTGGGAATGAACTTTGAATGTGTAATATCAGTTACGAAAGACAATTAAATATGGATAAAGAGAAATGTAGCTCACATTGGTCCCAAGGTAGTTATATGAATCTGGTGTCAAAAAGTACCATTAAACATCATTATTTTGACATCTTGACGCTGAAAGAATCCATTTTTAGACCTACTGCTGACCTGGACTGCATTATAAATATATTAGAGTAATAAAGCAAACAAAAACTAAAATAACTAAATAGATTTTGCTGTTGTTTTGCAGTCTCCGTACTTCTGGCCTTCAAACTGCTGGGAGCCTGAGAACACAGACTACGGTGAGTCACGTACTGTACATGTGTTACTTACCTCTGCTCTGAGCCAGTCCTGTCCCCTTGTTCTTGGACACAGCTGTATATCTGCACTGCCACTCAGTATTGATCTGAGAGGCCATTCCCTGTAATGTATCTGGCCCTGAGGAGCACAGCCATAGAAGATCCTATGGGATGAGATTAGCCTAACAAAATAAGGAGCCACTCACTGATATATGGACGCTCACATCTCTGGCTCTCTGCATGGCATTTACTCTGGCCTTGTTATTTGTGGGGACAACACGGGTGCCTGCTGTACCGCTGCCTACAGAACATTCATTAGTGTTGATCCACACAGCTGAGACCCCCGTCAAAAGTTTACAATCCCTCATATTCTGTGCAAACAAGATGCGATGGGCTTTGATTTTGTATTGTAAATCTTTATTCTTTTTTTCTCCTATAGCCATTTACTTGTGCAAGCGAACCATGCAGAATAAAGCCAGACTTGAGCTTGCTGATTATGAAGCTGTAAGTACACTACTATTTTAACTTGTCAAAATGTTGTATTTACATGTTTTTCTTATATGCAGATCTGACTGTTGTGAGCTTTAAACCATGTTAGAACATTGTTACCTCATCACAGACATACCTGGACTTGTGTTTTGTTTCATTTAACATGTTCCAGCAATTCTTTAAACATATTCCAGCATTCCAACATTCCTTTATTAGTCTGTCAACATCTCCAAAGCTTATAATGCTTTGTTTCACCTTATGATATCATGAAGTGGTAGTTTTCAAGTGAACATCTGTCTTTTGCCTTTTGTTTAGCACCAATTTGAGGGCTGAAATGATCCAAATGATTTTAGTGAAGCTGTATGGAGTTTAAAAACACAGTGGAGCACTTCCTGTATTACCACATGACATCAAAAGGTGGAGTGTTTTCTCAGCCTAAATATGCAGGGTTACTGTGAATGAAACAAAACACAACTCCAGGTATGTTTTTGATGAAGAAAGAACATTATAACAGATCAGAAAATAGTGTAACATGGGCCTTTAACAATCCCTTTGTCACAATAGAAATCCATTGTGCTGTGGTATTTCAAAGAAGCTGGATGTAACGATTGTCCACGAGACTTCCTTTTCACTCAAATTCAGGTCATTTAATGCCCCCCAGGCGTCTGAGCTCTTGCTGTTTCATGACCACCGCTGAGTACTTTTTTCCTCTTAGTAATGAGGTCGCATATTGTATAATTGACAGATGCTTCTTGGCAATTGTCTTATGAGGACACAATGCTCAACAAGATATGGTTTTCTTGCTAAAATAATACTTAAAGAACCTACACAGGAAAAGCTCCACTATGTTTTTAAACTCCATACATCTTACTAGAATAATTTGGGTGATTTTCAGCCCTGGAATTGCCCAACTCGAATGAACTCGAAGTAAAAGGTAGCTGTTTATTTGAACTATTGCTTCATGACATCACAAGGTGGAACAAGCATTTTGAGCTTTAGAGATGTAGACAGATTAATAATAAAGGCTTTCTTTCACACGTGTGAATGAAACAAAACACAATTCCACTTAGGTTTTTGAAGAGGTAACACCAGCAAACATGGCTTAATGGTTACATTTAATACATCAACTTTTTTTTATACTTTTTTTAAATACTTTTTTTTTATCAATGATTGGCAGTGTTTATAAGACAGTCTGCATGTTTATATTTCTGCTTATTTTTTGGGACATATATTCTCTGTACAGTTAGTTTTCTATATCTATTTTAATAGGAATTGGTTGTTGTCTGTTGTCTGGTGACTTGACAATCATACATCAGTTTTTTTTAAATGCGCCCTTTTTCTCACACAACTTTATGACTAATGGCAAAGATATATATGGTTATTCCCAACTTTCTTACTTGAGAAAAAAGAACCTGAATTGAAACTTTTCTTTGCAGGAGAACCTTGCGCGGCTGCAGAGAGCTTTTGCCAGGAAGTGGGAATTCATTTTCATGCAGGCTGAGGCGCAAGTCAAGTGAGTATGCAGCGTGTGAACCACCTCCACATGTCCTAACCTGACACTCTTCCTCTGTGGCGCTACACAAGTGCTCCAGTATTTTTTATTTTTTTTTCTCTCTCAACAAGAAAGTGTGTCAGTGCGTTATGTCATTTGGATGGTAGGTCAGAGATAATTAGAGGGTTACATGTTGAAGTTTTTCCCTGTAGTTGGACATGACTGGACCATGTCTATAGAAGACTTCCATCTGCTGGTGAGCCAGTGTAAACACATGTCTTAAATTTCTGTATTACCTAGCTATTTAAAGGTGCACTAACTTTTATGACAGCTGTAATTGCAGTTGTTTTGTCTTGAGTGTGCCACAATATGATTTAACCTTATTTATTATGCAATTATTAAATAACAAGTGTTCAAAAATTCATTGAGCTGCATGCATTCTGACTGTGAATGAGCTCAAATCTCTACAGATCTGACCTCAAATTTTGCCAAGTAGGGTGACCTGCTTGTCTCCATGTAAATAATGCCTTACTCTGGTACATCGCAGGCAAAGCAAAAACCTCTCCAGTGAGACAACCAGATGATGGATTCTCTGTTAAAAAGTTACATAAAAATAAAATTACTGGAGTTACTACCCTAATTTCTGATTTGACAGAACATTATGGGACCCTTTCCTACGCACCTGTCTGAGGAAAGCAATGTGAAGTAACATCTCTGACAGGAAATGTACTTACAGACCACTTAACAAAAACACTTTATGTAATGTCTTTTTTCCAGTGGTGAATAATGGGAATAAAAAGCAGTACTGCTATTTTAGCTCTGGGCAGTAAACAATGTGAGCCAGGTCTTATCTGTAAATGTCAGTTGCGTAAGACGTTTGTCCCACCAGAGGCAAAAGCAGCCGCTGCATGTCAATAAGATCAGACAGGTGAAGACCCTGTGTGGCCATGGGCTCTGTCTGCTGGCTTTGTTTGTGTGTGAAGTGTCAGCCATCCATCTGAGACCAGTGTATTTGACTGAGAGCTGTTTGCCCTATTCATGAGTGAGCTATGACTTGTGTCCACAGAATCGACAGAAAGAAGGACAAGGCAGAAAGGAAGATCTTGGACAGCCAGGAGAGGGCGTTTTGGGACGTCCATCGGCCAGTGGTGAGTCAGAGCTGCAGGATGTTTTTACACTTAGACAAAGGATCCTGAAAAGATGTAGCACACAATTGAAAGGAGCAGAAGGTGGCAAGCAGAAATGACCGTTAAGTTGGTGCACTATAGTTGGAGAGTTGCTGAGACAGCCTGAAGGAGTTTTTGTTGTTAAACAGAATCAGATATGGTGCCAATCACTTTGCATATGAGCATCCCTGAGGGTCGCTTGGCTGAACAGCATTACTGTACTGTATTGTAAATCTGAGGCAGGCACACAATGCAGTTTGGAGAAACAGTGTTATCTGACCCAAAAACGCGCTTTGCCTCTTGCTTCCTCCCACAGCCAGGCTGCGTCAACACAACGGAGATGGACATCCGCAAGTGCCGAAGAGAGAAGAACCCACACAGGGTGAAGAAGGTGAGGCAACATGACAGCAGGGAGTTTGACAGTTTCAACCAGTCCCGGTCTTTTAGGGTTTTCTGTGAGCAAGCAAAGTCAGGGGATGTTTATAGTCACGTTTGCCTCTGGAGGAGATGAGTAAAAAAAAAGGTCTGATTCACATAATGTTTGTAAGAATAGTTTGCTTTTAAAGATACAGTAGCTACTAACTTGGGTGTTATGTTATGCCAGTCATAATTTTAAACAATGGGAAAATAATTAGTTTTATAAGTTTATAGATATGTGTCATATTGGATTATATTCAAAATCAAAACTGGTGGCAAAACAATGTACGCATGCAAGTTCTTTATAGTATATTATTAATAATAATTCAACTGTATTTTTAACAAAACCAGAATCATAAGCATGACAGAATAAATCTATCTATCATACTACAACAAGAAGTATATTATTATTATTATTACAGAAGTATATTATTATTACATTATATGACAAGTAACAAAAAGACTATTAATTTGTGCCTTGGTTATTTTCAGTCAGTATATGGCGTTCCAGATGATGGCCAGAGCCAACCTAGTCCGGTGCACATCAGCTCGCAGCCGGCCCGCAAGCCCACAAAAGAGGACGTACAAAAGGAAGTAAGTAACCAGTTACAATCTAGCATCTGTCTCCACAGGCAGCCCCCACCCCTCACCTATCACTACACTTTCACCTGATTTCACCTCCTCTTCCTCCTCTTCTTCAGATCTCCTTCCTGAACACCCAGCTGGACAGACATTGCATGAAGGTGTCCAAGGTCGCGGACAGTCTGATGGGCTACACAGAGCAGTTCATGGAGTACGACCCCCTCGTGTCTGCTGTGGAGCCGTCCAACCCCTGGATCACCGATGACACCAACTTCTGGGACATGGAGACCAGGTGAGGACAGAGGGGAAAGGGCGTCCACCAGACATGGGGCAGGTCACAATCAGATAAAAGCAAAAGGCCCAGTGGTGTCCTTAATACAGAGGGATATGTCACTTTGTATTGTATCATAAGTAAAGCTAAAGGTTGCCTCTATTTCTTTCTGTGTTGGGTATTACAGTAAGGACCCCAACCAGCAGCGGGTGAAGAAATGGGGCTTTTCTCTGGAGGAGGCGCTCAAGGATCCAGCCGGGCGAGACATGTTTCTGAAGTTCCTAGAGTCAGAATTCAGCTCAGAGAATCTCCGGTAAGAAAATTATCCGCTCAGCAAATACATGTGTAAAGCCAATTATGTTCATGCTCAGTAAGATTGTATTGCTGTGCACTGTTGCTGCACAAAAAAGTTGTATAACATGGGGGGAAATAGGTCTAGGTCAGTCACTAATAATGTCTTACAAATTCTTCAAAGAAAGGAATGTCTGGTAAATATTCATAATAAAATTCATAACTTCAAAGATAAATTAAAAAAGATTAAGATAAATTAAAGTAACTTCTATATATTTTTGATAATACAACAAGCAAAAGTAATCTTTTTTTTAAACTCAGTTTGTTTTTGACTATGGGGGCAGAAATGAATGGTAAACTCTGCACTGTAAATATAGAAAAAGGTATTTTAAAGCAAATGTTGTTTTGGAGATATGCAAAATTATAATATTAAGCATATTATCTATAATATTGAAAAAAAAAATCTAAAACAGCTGAATAAAAATAAAAAGAACAGAATCTGGCTGTGTAAAGACTATAAAGCGACATTTGAGCACATTAGTGGTTAATTTTATAGTCTATTCACATTAACAGGCACATTTCATTATATTTCTAATGGATTGCAATAATGTAATCTGATTATTGTCATCGGGATTATGTCAAAAAATGTAGATATATTCCTTTTTTTTAGTGTCACCCACCCTGAATTGTGTGTAGAAATAATGCGTTAAACCTTTTGACTGCTGCCGTTTCAGATTCTGGTTGGCAGTGCAGGACTTGAAGCGGCGGCCGTTGCAGGAGGTGTCGTCCCGGGCTCAGGAGATCTGGCAGGAGTTTCTGGCTGAAGGAGCTCCGAGTTCCATCAACCTGGACTCCCACAGCTACGAGCGCACCAGCCAGAACCTCAAAGACCCCGGGCGCTACAGCTACGAGGACGCACAGGTACCTCCACTGTGCCATTGTTCACGCGCCGATAACTCCTTCACGCACACCTGCACAGAATGAATAAACTCTACCTGCTGTCTCTAAAGCTATGCATAGTGTTTGTGTGGTTTACTGTGCAACTTATCTGGTATGGGGTCTGTTTGTCTCGATGGAGATGTAATGAATGGAATGTTCCACAGCATTGCATTAAATGTATCTTGAAAAACACGTATTCTCACCTCTCCACAGATCTGACCTGTTTGATTCTACAGTGATAGATAAGTTTAATGCTATACAATAAAATCTCCTTAAGAGACAAGCAGATGAAGAATCCTTAACCAAAGAAGTTACATAGTACATCTTTAAATGGCACCTTTTTAAAATATGATCAGGAGATATTAAAGGTCCTATATTACAAAAATTGCATTTAGCCATGTTAGAATATTTAAGATAAGATAAGATCCTTTATTGTCTCCCATCACAGGGGATCACATGCTTTATCAAAAACAGGTCAGCACAAAACAAAACACCACACAAACATCCACCATAGAACAAACACATACGGGACCAAGTATGATCACGAGTGATGCACCAACAGGACCTTTAAGTCACTGTTTACAAGCAAGCCCTTTGCAATCTTCTATTAATAATTGCACATTCCCTAAGCCTATGTGCAGCTTTGATTGTACATTCTCTAAGCCTATGTGCAGCTTTGATTGCACATTACCTTGTCCTATGTGCAGTTTTGATTGCACATTCCCCTTTATTTTTTGTCTCCATGGAGATTAAGATAAGTTTATTTAATTTTGGATGTTTCCATAAATAATAAATTGCATTATCATACAGTAAATGATAAATTGCATATGCAATAATCAACAGATACCTAAAGACTATTATTTTACACTGCTCATCACAACTATAATATCCACAAATAGAAATAAAAGAAAACAGAAAAAAAAAAAATCAATTGTTCCGAAAAGGAATGGGGAGAAGCAATACTTATCTACCCCCACCCCGTTTTACATTCCCACTAAAGCAATAATGTGCTTCTGTTGTGCGTCACATTACTCCCGATACAAAAATAAATATAGCATTTGCATTCAGATAATAATAAAATTAAATTCCTTCTTGAGCATACCTAGCTTTAACCATTTCTTTATATTTATATTTAAACATTTTCATATTTGGACATTTTTTGAGGTCATCACTCATAGAGTTTCAGATTTTGACCCCACAAACTGAAATACAGAAGCTTTTTCTTCTTGTACGAACCCTGACCATTTTAAAAAGATGAATTCCCCTTAAATTATAAGTTGTCTCCTTTTCCCTAAAAAGTTTCTGAATATTTTTTGATTGCACATTCCTCTAACCTATGTGCACTTTTGATTGCACATCCCCCTGATATTTTGTGCAGTTTTGATTGCACATTCCCTAAGCCCATTTGCAGTTTTGATTGCACATTCCTCTGACCTATGTGCAGTTTTGATTGCACATTCCTTTGACCTATGTGCTGTTTTGATTGCACATTCCCTAAGCCTTATCCAAATGATTATAGTGAAGATGTATGGAGTTTAAAAACACAGTGGAGCATGTCTTGTATTACCGCATGACATCACAAGATAGAACATTTTCTTTTTGAGAGAATAACTCAGCCCATGAATAATGGATTTCGAAGTATGTTTTTGATGAGGAAACAACATTGTAACATAGATGAGAAAATAACATAATATGGACTCTTTAAAGCCTGGTATATTTGAAACATGTTGCAGCTATATAATCACCGACAGTACATTTTGTTTTCATTTTTCCAGTGTCTTACAAATTTGAGATGTATTTTTTATGAATCACTAGCCCTCCTCAATACCTGTTTATTTTATTCATTCAACCCACTCACCCTTCAGAAGCGGTGACCTCGTCCACTCAACCCATGTTACACAAGGGAACTGGAGCTGGGTTTAAAGAGAGAGAAGGAACCAGAGAGAATGAGTGTGTGTGTTTGTGCCAGGGCCTAATGAAGCTGCTAAGAGCGTGAATGGCCTGTTCAGCTGCACCGTGGAGCTGGTTCAATGTGGGTTCCTCTGGGTCTGCTCCTAGAGTTATAATCAATGCGTGCTAAGTCCCTCTAAACACAGAATGATTCACGTTGCTTAAAGGTCATATATTATGCAAAATTGATTATTGGTTATTGGAACCATGTTATAATGTAATTACCTCAGCAAAACCATACCCAGAGATTTGTTTCATTCACATGCTTATCTGTTTGCATCCACAAAGCTCAAAATGCTCTTGTGATGTCATGTAGTGGTATTTAAGTCAATCAACCTTTTACTTTTTGTTCAGTAGAGATTGGCAATTCCAGGGTTGAAATAATCCAATAATTCTAAGGAAGGTGTATTAAATTTAAAAACACAAGTGGAGCACAACAAAACACAACTCCAGGTATGTTTTTGCGGAAGAAACAATATAAGATAGTTCAGAAAATAGCATAATATGGGCCCTTTAATTTTGCTGTTTTAGTCTGCATTGTTTGTACTGACAGATTTTGTACCAAAGCATTTTTTTCTCATTACAGGAGCACATATTCAAGCTAATGAAAAGCGACAGCTATGCACGATTTTTGAGATCCAACATCTACCAAGACCTGCTGTTAGCCAGGAAAAAGGTGAGCTGCACATTAAAATACCTGTCTTCTTTCTCTTTTGTTCTGCTTGGGCTGCTGCTACTGTGTTTGGAGAAACTGTTTTAAAAATTCAGGCAATTAGCTGAGAATTTGTTATCTGCATTACAATCAAAACAAGCCTGTTTCTACTCTTTCCGGTAACCATGACAATAAACGACTTTACTTTTCAATTTTGTGCTGCTTAATGTTTGGTGATTAGGGTAATTACCTTTAGCTACTAATACGGACTGGCATTTCGAAAGCTGTTTAAATGTCACTATCAATACAGATAACACATGTAAATGAGATAAGTCTGATTAGATCTAATACCAAATGTGTCTGTCTCCAATGACATTGCATTAGGCTTCAAAGTAACTTTTTACATTCTGTTCTTACACTATAGTCTGCTGTGTAATATGGAGCAAAGCAAATCACTGCTGCCGTACTTCATGCTCTTACCATCTCTGTTTTGGACACTGCTCCCCTGCTGGCCCTTAAACACTCCATCTATGTCCACATACTCCTCCTGTATTTCTTTTACCAATGCTTGTCCTGCCTCGTTTTGTCCCACTAACACCCACTCCCGTGAACATCATGGACACCCGTACGTTAACCCAAACACTCACCCTGCTTCCCCCCTTCCACAACAGCCACCTGCAGACCCCGACCAGGGCCGTCGCACCTCCCTGGAGAAGTTCACCCGCAGTGTGGTAAGTCCAAAGAGCTGGGGGCTGTTCATATCACAAAGCACACTGGCTGGCTCACGATCCGTGTATCAGCTTCTGCACTCACAACCATATTACACATAGTAGGCCTTTTAGAGGAGATCGTACTGCTTCTTAATCTGAGTTATGCCTTTGTTTTTGCGTTTTTCAGGGGAAGTCGTTGACAGGAAAGCGCCTCACGGGCCTCATGCAGTCCTCCTGACACGCCGCAATCTGGAGGGGCGCAGTCGGACCCGGTCAGCCGCACGAGCTGACCCGAACAGGGACAATGGAGCTGGGGGCTGGGTCTACTAGCTACTACTGCAAAAGCTACCGGACAGCACTCCCGGGACTGCTTCACTGTGCGGTCTGCTGAGGTTCAAAGACAAGTCTGAACACACACTCACGGCATGCAGCGTACAGTATAAGCACATAGAGACTAGGGCTGCTCCATCACACCCGAGGGACTTTTCGTATTTACGCACATGTATGAGAATAACTTTTTTTTATCCAGTCAGTCCGTTTGATGTGGCACATTTTTTTGTTCTGTTGTCAAAACTGCTGTCCAAATTTAGATTCTGTTTATTTTAACTCTAACCTCTACCTACAGCACAATCAGCAATAAAAACAAAGGGTTTTCAGTTTCCCAAATACATCCAAACTCTTTATACAGCATCAGTATTAATAATATTTTTTCTAGTCTCCATAAAGCACATGACATCTTGGAGCACTAATGAAAAGCAGTCACCAGGGTTTTTCTGCTGTCGACATAAATTGATTTGTCCCATGCTTCATTACATTCCAGAATCTGGCATAAGGGCTTAATGTTGCATCCACTTTGCAATATTGCATGTTCCATTGAAACATCTATACTGGAAAATGAGTGTTGTCTTTTTACAATAGTGCTTTGAAACGAGACACAGAGCAGAGAGATGATAATAGTTCCATTCCACTTGTCAAAACGGACCAGGGCTTTCATGTTTTACACAATAAGCTGGAATTATAAAACACAGAACGGTCGCATTACTTTAAGTGGTGGTTTTAAACATGTATTCTTGACTGAGGAGAGCATATGTGAAAAAAAAAACTTGCTTTTTCAAATGTTCAGTGCCATGTAGGAGTGTTAGCCTAAACTACAGGTGCAATGTTACAAGATAGATGTCTGTCTATTGTTCTCTAGTCCTGAAATGCCTGCTGCAAAATGTGAGCAGGTTAGTTTTCTATTTTTCTGTAAAAAGCATGTTTTTTTGGAAGTTTTTTATTTCTTTTGGCAATGTGTGTGCCATATATCTTCGTTTTGGTCTGTAACTGTTGCATGTTGTTGGACTCTAAAGCAATGACAGAAGGAGATGCTGAGTTTTCTTGACAGATGACAGAAAACTGGATTTGAGATGAACTAGAGTTGCTCCACTGAGGCCTCAATATATAGCAACTGCAGCCTTCTACTTGGACTGAGAAGATTCTTATCTCACAGCTCCCTCATGTGGCCAGTGACTGCTACAGCCCTGTGCTACTGTGGACTACTGAATGAATGACTCATCCAATATACAATTTTATATTAGAGATGTACATGTCATATTACAATTACTGTCATAAGCCAATAAGCTCTGAATATATGGTAGAGAAAGATGCTTAAATCAATGTACCAAATATTATTCTCCGCACAAACAAGATGACACGTCTAGAGAGCATTGTAGATGTAATTTGGCTATATGTCATTGAAAGCACACTGTATGACATGGGCACATTACTATGCATGTAACATAATCAGGGCATTTTGTGCTTTTAGTTTTTCAATCAGCAAGTAAACTACTGGCACTCGATACACTCAAGCACCTGTTATTTATCCATAGCTACCAAATAATAAAAGCTCTGGACCTGTCTGCTGTGGCTGTTTGTGTCTGATAGATTCAATTATATCCTACAATATCTGGGAGAATTCATATTTATTTAGTTGTATTTGCCCATACCGACTCTTGAGTAGATTTATATAGAATATAAACAAGTTGATTGATGGTAAAGTTAGCCTCGAGTTAAAGGGACAGTCCAGCATTTTGGACATTGGCTTCCTAGGAAATGAGGCTCAGAGTGTTGGAGACGCGTGCAGACACTTTTTAAAATATTCCATCCAGTCCTTGTATTTGCAGAGGTCACTGGTGCAAGGCTAGTGCATGTCAATGGCCATAGTTATCCTGGCACTACAATCAGGCTTACCCACTCCACAAAGGACCCGAAGCAAATCTATTATTATGCCAGACTGTCGATGCGAATGTCTGTGTCAATAGAATAATGTTTGAAATAAAACTAACCTTTCATCGCATGAATCATCGCGTGTTGAGGGACTATTTTCTCAGCAGCAGCAGAATTTTATTTTGCCGGCAAGATAGGTGCTAGGTCAGGGGTGTACAAACTTTTTTCATCAAGGGCCACATATACAAACAGAGACGATGCAGAGGGTTGATCGAGCGCCGTAGACTGGTACTCAATACAGTGAATAATTAAAATATGTGCATGTTTAACACATTAGAATGAGCCATCAGTCTTTATTCATACTAAGATCCTTAAAACCACACACTAAACATTAAATATTAGCTTTATCAAGGTAGATTTTCAAAAAGCTTGCAGTAAAAAGTTCATTTTTAATTAATGCAAGGTAATTTGGGCCAATTCACCTGGAAGCCTGTAGGTCAAGAAAAAATTTGTCTGAGGGTCGCATTTGGCCCATGGGCCAAAGTTTGGTCATGCCTGTGCTCGGTGATATCAGTCTGCAGCTAACTTGCTGTTGCTGCTCAGACATAAATCCTTCAAATGCAAGGTTCTTCTTACTTCAAAAATGATTCTATTGACACTTATTGGCATAATAATAGATTTGTTTTGGGTGTTTTGTGGAGTGGGTAAGACTGTTTTTAGTGGGAGGATAACTATGGCCGTTGACATACACTAGCCTAACACCAGCAACCTCTGCAAATACAAGGACTGGGTGGAATATTTTTTAAAAGTGTCTTCACATGTCTCCAACACTCTGGCTCTCTAGGAAATGTCCAAAATTCTGGACTGGCCCTTTAAAGACATATTTACACTGATTCAAATTATATAAATAAAATAACACTGCAGAGATTAAAGGTCTGATTAAATTGACTCATGTGAGCTTTTAGTTTTAGCCATGTTATAACCTCCTCAAAAACATACCTGGAGTTGTATTTGTTTCATTCACACATGGGGTTAGTGTGTTAAATGTGTGAATGAAACAAAACACAACTCCATGTATGTTTTTGAGGCAACTTTATAACATGCGTAATAAAAAAATAACATATGGACCATTTCAATATTTTGTACTCCTTTTTCATGCAAAGATTTCTGAAGACTTTTAAACCTCCTGGCACATATAGTAGTTTCTCTCCATTGGTATCTGGCCTTCAGACTTGTGATTTTTCAAGCAGCACCTGGCGATCAATATCCGTGAGCTGTAGCCTCCTTTTTGCCCTGTTCCAATTTAAAGTCTGGCCCTTCCACTGCCATCACAAATTAGAGGTGTAGTTTTCCACTGGCTGCTCTCACAGGTAGACAAAGCTAAACTCCACATAGCAGAAAATGCGCAATGTTTTTGTCTTTATTTTCTCAGAACAATAAAAATAGTTTAACAAACAAAGACTTCTTCATTCTCTTCATTTCAACATATTTACAGCTGAGGATCAAACCCAGTCATCTCCTCTTGGCTCCATTCCCACCCAGACTCTCCCTCTGTCACCCGGGAGCATCAGGGCCTATTGCTGTGTCTTAGACGAGGTATACAGACTATGCGATGATGGGAGACACCAGAGTGGACACACTGACCATTGCTTTTGTTCGGATTTGCACCACCATGCCGGGCCCATGTTTGTATATTGTTGAATAAGGTACAATGAAGACACATGCTTGAACTTTCTGACATGACACTGGAAGAATAAGACATATTTTACACAGAAGAGGAGGAAGCTGTGCACATCTGTTCTCTGCCCCGTTAGGGATGAGTGATATGGCAAAAAAGTGTAATTTAAAAATGTAATCTGCTTCTGTGACAAAAAGATTTTAAAGGAAATGCTATTTTGTGATTGATTGATTGTTTAATGCAATGCTAAGCTGCAAAGATAGAACTTTTTTCCACCCACTCCTCTTATTGGTCAGTCTAACCAGGCATTGAGTGAGTGACAGGTGGATTTAACCAGTCACAGTGAAGTCTGAGCTCTCAGAAGCAGAAGATGGCTTGAGTTACCCGTCAAAGGCAGATACAAAGATACAAAGTACATGAATTGAGATCAAATCAAAATTGTGATCTAGCTTTTAAAAATAGTGTTTGAATAGATTTTTTTTTTGTCATACCGCCCACCCCTGTGCCCCGTAGAGATGCACTACTGTGTGGAGGGTCCCTGAGGGGGGAACAGATGGTTCTGGATGCACATGCGAGTCCTTACATGGTTCAAGGTGGCTATTATTACATTGCAGCAGTAGTGAGGGATACAAACCTCTTTGCTCGCCTGTGTAACCTTAAGAACTGTGGAGAAGTCAAAATGTATTCAGAACTGCTAAAGCACTCAGCTGAAATTCAACAGTAACTTGAACATCTGAGCAGACGTGCGTCTAAAACCCAGTCTGTGTGAGATGAATGCCACTTCCCAGTCCGCTGCCAGAGTAGTTGGAACAGTAATGAGGAGAGCAGAGGTTTACATGGCTGATGAAGCAGAAGCATCTTATTGCAGAGTTCTTGTTCTTTAATTTGAGGCTGCAGAGTCCAGACCCTCTGAAGGTTCATTGTACTAGGATCCTAGGTGATGTGTTTGTTCCTGGAAGCTGACTCGATACAATCACACGACTCAGGCAAAACAATCAACAGCAGAGGAAATCAAAGATGCCTGAGTAGTTGAGGCTATTGTGCACCTGATCAGGACAGAGGTATCCACAGTAGAAGAAAACATGGTTCAACTCAAACTGTTCAAAACATGGAAATATTATACAACAGAAAAAGAAGCAAAAATTTTCAATTACTGCAATTCATTCAAGGCAGAATGAACTCGAAGAAAACCAAAAGCCCAGAGAAGCATTGTGTAGCGCTCACACAGTAGTCCAGAGGTGTGCGTGTGGTGGTGGTGGAGTAGAGCACCATCTCTATGGCTGGGTCAGAGGGTCAGTCCGACTGGAGGCTCCAGGCTGTTCGAGCTGGTTCCCAGTGCAGAGCAGAGCTGCAGC